TGCCTTCACTTTTGACCCTTGACCCTTGCTCCATCCTGCATACTACAGGAAGAGCAATCCTAAAATGCAGATCTGATCCAGTTAGTCACCTGCATTAAATCCTTCCAAGGCTCCCCAGAGTCTTCAGGATAAAGTCCAAACCCCTATGCACGGCATACAAGGCCCTTCCTTATCTAGGCCCTAGCTACTTCTCCACACTCACCTCTTAACAGCGATTCTCGCATCTCATATTCTGGCTGAACCACACTTCTGGTGGTTTCCTGAACACCTCCATGCTGTTTACCCTTCTGTGTTCTTGCATGTGAGCCCATTCACTCCCTTATCTCATTTTTGCTGGCAAAATTCTACTCTTATTTCAAGATAACTTGACTTTTACTTCCATTCTGCAGTTTTTCCTAAGTCCCTCAGGCAGACTTAGGTGTTTCTTTCTCTATGCTAGCTTGTCATCTTGCACTTACCTTCATTACAATAATTATCATTTCACATTATATTTGACATTTTACCTGTCAGGTAAGTTCCTTGAGGCCAGGGACCACTTCCTATTTATCCCTATACACCCAGTGTGTACCCAGTGCGCAGCATACCATTTTGCCCAAACAATTTGCTCATTTCCACCTCCACTAATATCTCTGCTCTCTGTCTCAGCAGGGAGTAACTTAGTTTTCCTCCTTCAACATTTGGCAAAAATGCATTTTCTCCATTAAATTTTCCCTGATCACACTTACTTCACTCTAATCACTCCTTCATTTTATCATGCCCTCAGAGCTTATAGACGACCCCTCCAACAAACATATTTGTGCCTTACTGATTTAGATGCTTTCTTCCAGCTCAATCACTCTAAAACATTTAAGGATCATCTGCTGAAATCATCCACAGCAGTGTTTTTTTTTTTAATTTATTTCTGCTAAAACACCTATTTTTATGCTTGGAGAGGAAGTCAGACATCAATTCTTGCCCTTTCCAAACCAAATACCCTTTCAGTGAGCAATAGGAGCAGAAAGGGGAGAACACCAAGCCACCTACAGTTTCAACTCTAGGAGAAAGACTTCTGAAAACTATTGAAGTTATGACCTGGTGGCAAGACAGAAAGCTGAAATCCCCCAAACTAAGGGAAGCCTCTCCCTCTCTTCCAACACATCTCTTTTCTTTCTTCTCTCTCCTAATGCTAAAGAGCAAAGCCACTCAGCTCCTTAAAAGGCTTGATAAGAGCCAGAAAGGAATCAATCTGCCCATGAAGCTTCTGGGATGGACTAGCCCATTGCACTGCAACAGTTCTGGAAGAGAGGAAAACAGGGGAAATCCAGGCAAGTGCTTTAATATTCTCAGTGCCCTAAAAATTAACAAGACTAAATAAGTAATAATGGAAGGGCTATACTACATTCATTTGTACTCCCTGGACTGCATGCTGCTTTATAAATACTCCTCCTCCTCACTAGATACTGTGCTTCCCCAAGCTGGACTAAAAGTTCCTGGAGGCCATCAACAAGGTATGTTTCTTTTGTAGCCTGCAAATTGCCCACCACACTGAGTACATAGTGTTTGTTCAAAAAATGTTGTTGACTGATTACTAAGTATTTAACAATTTTTCTTCCCCTTAATATTTTCAGGAATGCTTATTATTCACAAACCCACGCAGTCTTGGAATCCAAGAGGAAATATTCATCTGTTGGTATACATTTTCCCTTGGCTGTGCATTAAACAGAGATTTCCTTTGGAAATGTAAACAAAGGATGCCCGATGAGACAGGACAAAGAACTATATATAGAGATCAAGTGGCCAGAGCAGCAAGGTCAAAGCATGCCCTTCCTTAACCAGATTAAGAGTCTTGAGTCTGTCTCTACCTCCTTCCCCTGCTCTCCAGCCCCAACAGATAATATTTTCCAACTGCCTATCCACTGAACTCTGAAAGCTGGGCAGCAACTACAACAGGCTGCATTACCAAAGAACTCAGCTAACAAATCTGTAGTGATCCTAATCTTTGTTTCTGTAATAATAGGAAGACTGCAGCTTTGTTTACTTTCTGAGGAGAATAGAGAACAGGCAGAAAGAACCAGGAGAAGGAGGCAGTATTTATGGCCCCTTTATGAAAAGTCAATCTGTGACAAAAACATTTGCAGACAATAAGGAAGGGGAACAGGTTTGGCAGGAAAATAGCCTATTCCAGTTTTCTCAGAAGTGCCTTAGCTGGTATCCTCCACCCCCACCCGATGTGAAATGCCTGGTTTACACTATGAATATAGTCATTCTCTATAGACAAATCTGGATTAGATAAAATGGAAAAAATTCAAATTACCCTTCAGTGTCTGGCTTTCATGACAAACAGTATCCTACTATTTATTTCACTTTATAAAGTATTTATAAGCATTTATGAAGTCTCAAGTCCCTTCTTTAACTGCATGTCTAATCCCAGGGCTTGTCCTGAAACCTTTTGGACACACAGGCTCTGTGCTGAATGAGTATAATAAGTACCCTGGATTCACCCTATTATTATGGGGAAGTTTAGGGCACATCCCTAACCTTTCACAAGGGATGATGTCATAGAGCACAGACGTGGTCTTCCATAAACCACTCTGTAGGGCTCCTGTCAAAGACAGAATTCTAAACTGAATAGACTATGGAGTTAACTCCCAAAATACACTCTCACCTTTGACATGTGATGCAGTATCTCCCGATTCTTTCCCAATTCTCAGTTAACATTTTTATTCCATTGCCTGTATTTCCTACACATTTGTATCCACATCAGGGTGGATTTGTGTAGCGTATAAGCCCTCCGAGGGTAGATACTGTGTCTATGCCATTTTCTTTGTACCTGGTACAATGCCATGCATACATGTTAGTAACAGGTGACCTTTTGTGTGCCAGAGTGGACAGTGGCCTACGCAATGGATTTAACAAGCATCCCTAAGGGAGCCTCTTAAACACCTCCTTTGCTGGTTCATCATGAGGCTCCTCTTCCCTTCTACTTTGCTTACAATTGGCAGCACTAGCGTCATCTCCTGAAGGCTCCAGCAGGAGTACTAACTTCAGAAAGGCACTTAAAACATCACACAATGATGCATTGTTTTATGAGACTAGCTCCTTGCCACTTGAAAAGAGTAGGGCCCTGACTATAAAGGTTTGATTGGTGCAATGGGCTGGGAAAGGTCGGAAGAGGGCTATGTTTGGGTGAGGCTGGTCAGAGTGATAAGCTTCCCAGGGGTGGGATGAGAAGATGTTAGAGAGGTCCTAAAGTGAATAAGCAATGAAAATAAATTGCTTACTTTGCTAATTTGACTACAACTTGTTCTATACATAATAGTCTTTTTGATGAGAATGAGGAAGGTGATGATTATAATTTCTAAACTCATTTTATTCACTATTAGCTGTTACCCCACCCTCAATCATGCAAATTCTAAGCCGAGGGATTCCTTATCTTGTCTCCTGCTTACAATACTTCCTTGTCTTTTCACTAGTTGGGTTTCTTATACTGTAATCTAACAGCATAATCAGAAGCTTTGATGGAGTGGAACACAGAGGGATTCTGATTAGCTGAAAATCACTGTAAAATGCCTTCTGTTTTGTTTCTCCCCTCTTGGAAAGGATGAGACCAAAGAGAAAAAGAAGAAAATAAAGAAAGTAACATTCACAGAATCATGACCTGTGAAATCTGGAAGAGACATCAAAGGTCACGTAGTCAGTTCAACCCCTCATTTTAAAAGGTAAGGACACTGAAGCTGAGAGGCTAAATGACTTACTCAAGTTCATACTACCAGTTAATGGCAGAGCCAAGTCTAGAACCCAATTTTCCAATTTATATTCCAGTATTCTTTCTTTCCATTCCTTATGCTTCTACCTAAATTCCCCACCCCATTCCATAATCTCACACCTGAGTTTAACTGGGATCCTATGTACCCTACATACAGTACCACTCTCTTCCATAAATGGAGTGCCCAGCACGGATTAAATTGCTATGGTATGCTCATCATACAAGTACAACTTACTTTAAGAAATCCAAACAATCAGGAACGGTTATTTATATAAGAAGATTCTTTGCCTTACAAGATTCTCCAAACTCTCTTAAATAGGAAACCCCAGGTGGGATTAAAAGATGAGAGCTTAATAAAATTCTTTTATTGCTTAAAATAAAGTAAACTTGATCCATTACACTTATCTGTCATACAAGTAAGATTAGAACTAGACTATTAGTTGTAAATAGAATTAGAAACTCACTGCCCATGAGGAGTCCTATAATATTTTACCCGACCCTGTTCACATTTTAAGCTCTACCACCACTTCTTCAACAAAATCAACACAAAAGCTGAAGTTTCATGCTCTCGGGAGGAAGAGAGAAATAACATTTTTCTTTTATTATGTCCACTTATGAAGAGGTCGACTCCTCTTGTAAGCTCTGCTCTGAGATTTGATGTAGGTGCCAATTTTCAAAAACCTTATACTTGTATAACACTTTATAATTCACTGACATCTTTAACATATATATCATTTGTTGGTGACAAGAATAAGTGGAAATGTGATGAGCGAGGACCAGGTAAAGTGCATGGGGACGAAAGGAGGAGAGACTACGAAGAGGAGAAGCAGTCCTGATAATATTGTTACAGAAACAATAGTGCACTGAACCAACATCACACTACCCCAAGATCCCAGGATTCCCAACTTCCCTATGACACCCCAGCAATCTCTTTAAGGATCTATGATGCGCAGTTGGTTAATGATGAAACACATTTCATGTCAGATTCTCATACTGCCTGCTGTATGGTAAGGAGAAGGGATTGCCCCTTGGACTATTGTCTCCCCAGCCCATTACCACCACCTATTTATTTTTTAACAATAGCTATGTGCCACTCTTCCTGGAACAAGCATCCTAAAGGAAAGAGACTTCCTAGAACTACCATTCAATCCTTCACTCCAAATGGCTGAGTCACACTCTGACAAAACTCAAGTCCCCCCAAAGAATCACCCAATCCAGGTCCTCTGAAAGAATCACAAATGTTTCTGTCACATACCTCAACCTGCTGGCAGATCTGTATTAGTTTGGCCATTTGATTTTCTAGTTCGCTGTTGCGCTTAACCAGGTTGGTGAGGTTCATTTCCAGAGTTTGCTGCCATCGCGGAGAGTGTGAAGCCAGAGGGAAACAGGGAAGAGGGGGGAAAAAAAGAACAAATGTTCGATGAGCTTGAGAACCGATATCATGTGGAAGTCAGTCAGTCGACACATATTTCAAAGATTCATTGAGTACTTGCTATGGGCCAACCACTGTTCTACATGCTAATTAATAATGCTGTACATTGGCTCCAGATTGCCATTATTGGGGAAAAGATGACATTCATGACTTTGTGGATGTAGGAATTTAATGACATTAAAGCAACTTTATGTTTTCTACAATATTTTTAACTTTTTAAATATTTCATAGTCAATATGTCATTCTGCCCTCATAGTAACCCTGTGACATAGGGAGAACAGGTATTATTCTCTCTTTTACAGATGAGCAAAATAAGAAAGCTATAATTTATTGAACGATTGCCAGACATTATGCTAGATAGTTTCATATATATCATTGAATAATCATAACAACCCATGAAGTAGATGTCAGCATTTTACAGATGACAGAACTGAGCTTCAGAGTGAGGTAAAGTATTTTGCACTGTCATATAATTAGTATGTGGCAAAGCTAGGACTGAAACCCAGGTCTCTAGCCCTCAGTCATGGCTTTGCCTCAGTATTCTATGATTTTTTTGTCTTTTTGTTGATAACATTTTATATCTATCAGTATGTTCCTTCAGAAAAAAAACATGGTATTTTAAGTGTGGGATTCATCAAAATCTAGCATCGTAGCTTCCCTTCTTTGGCACTAAGGAATAGCCCACGGAGATGCTAGACTTCAAAATGCAAAGCCTGGCTGTATCAAGATAGGACATCCACTGCTTACCATTGCTTACTGGTACATAGACCCTCTTAGGTACACATTAGATGTATTCTGAAAATCTGTTTAACATAACGTAGTTACAACAGTACTCAGAACTCAGCATATTTTCAGTTGGGCAAGCTACTCTCTCCCATTCCTTATGTGAAAAAATAGAATGTTATTCACTCTAGATTGATAATGGGCTTTTTATTCCTCCCCATTCCCAAGTCTTCAGCCCTGATGGCCACTTCTCCTCCAGGACATGCCCCAATATCCACTCCTCTCCCACTTACCATCCCAACACCCCCACAAAATCTGTTCCAAATGTAATACCCCAACTTCCTGGCCCTTATTCTGCTAGCATTCCTCCCCTTGGTCGTGTTCATTGCTTCAGTGCTGTCTCCATGGTTCCTATGGTTTGTAGTTGTTCAAAGTTCATGTTTTTGGTATAGGGGGGTTCAGAGGGGCATGGGGGAGTGGGGGGGGAGAACTCGTGTACTACTAAGTAGCTGTGGCTCCTTAGTATCCTTGGCACTAGCCCATGAATCTATCCCAGAGGACGTATTCCCATGGATATGTATTTCTAGGACGGGCAGTCTGATCTCACTTGTTCTCAAACTGGATTATGAGAACCAGCTTCATCTTTGCTTCCCTTCTTGCCAGATCTCTCTTGGTTTCTTTGGCTTTATTCCCACCAAAGTGATTTTTCATCATTTATTCCATTTTTCTTGGCTTGGGCACAGCGCCTCCCCTGGCCTCCTTTAACTCCATGACCATCTCAATCTGTGGCCTTCTCCTTAGCAAGGACAAAGAGGAGGACAAAGGAAAAAAGAAGGGCAGCAATCATTGATTTGGACATGATCTCTAAGCTAAGTAGATGATGTCAGGGGCAAAAAAAGAAATGGCAGTTCAGAGATTTAACACAATAAAAGGTACTGAGCACCTACCCTGTTCAAGGCGCAGTGACTTCAGAGATAAAGAGGACGTGAAATTAAGATGGGTCTTGAAGGATAAGTAGGATTTTAATACACAGAGATGGAGTGGGGCAGAGTGTTACAGGCGCAAGGAATCGCATGAACAAAAGTAAAAGGGTATAAAGTACAGGACATGTTCAGGGAACAGAAATTGAGTTTGACTAAAACAGAAGGTACAAGAGAGTAGTGGGGGACAAGGCTGGAAATGGAGATCAAGGCCCTGTTATGAAGGTCTTGGATGCCTAGGTAAGGAGTTTGTACCTATTTTTTTTAAGCAGTGGGGGCTTACCAAAGACTTCTGAGCAAGATAATGACATAATCAAGGCTGCATTTATGAGACCTACCAGCAATATGTGGGGCAGACTGAAACAGGAGAGCCTGGGGGTAGGGACACTGGTTAGAAGGAGGCTGCAATACTCAAGGCAATTGGTAATGCAGGTCTAGGCCAAGCTAAGAGGATAATTGAAAGAAACATGTTTCAAAAACGGATTTGTTACTGTCAAATATGCAGAGAGTGCAAGAAATATGAGGACTGATAAAAGGTAGCTGGATTTGGTAATTAGAGGTCACTAGTGACCTTTATGTCAGTATAGTCTATGTGGAGGCTACAAGTCTGGACTCCTCTTCAAAAATTTGGCCATAAGGTGAATATGATAGAGCTGTAGTTTGATGAAATGGTCCAGCCTAAGTTAGAGAGTGGACTTTGCTAATGGATCCAATCAGTTTGTGATTTCCTCTAGCAGAGTGGTTCAGATTCCTAGATCAATGGAAATCCCACAGATCACAAATGACCATATTGACATATTAGGTAAACATAATGTAGATTGATGAACTCAGAGCAAATATTAGAAATCTGTGTTTCAAACTGTAATGTGTTTCCAGTCGAACATGGGATTCCATGGGGAGAATGTTTCCTGACAAGTACATGTAACCTGTTGCAACACTTGTCATGAAACTGATATCTTATAAATAATTCATAGTGTAGAGCAGGGCTAAGATCCCTGCTGTGTGTTCCTCATTTATTGCCCACAACTGAGACTCACAGCTTCTGTAAAGCCACTGAAAACAAAAATTCAGGCTGAACACATAATTTGGGGTCTGGTTAGACAATGGACCTTGGACACAAAGTTACGGCAAATGGTTATTTTGCTCTGGCCCCCTAGCAATTTGCAGAATGACAGCACATTTTAACAACACAGAACTAGAACTGACAAGATGACTCTAATTTCAACGTTACTTCATTAATATGAAAATGCTTTGAAAAATAAATCTTTGGCTAATGAAAACACCATCTGTTGATGGCTTTTTGCCACTGTTTTCTTACATTACGAGACATAATTTGAGGAAAACACTGAACGTTTACTTACTCACTTCCTATTCATTTACAAGGAATTAAAGCCTCCTCTCAAACTGGAATTGATTCTCGATAACGAACATATGCAAAGGGAAGCCGAGAATTGAAGCAATTATGCAGTCTATTTCCCCACCCTTCCTTATCATGGCTAGCACTGACGAATCATTTAGAACTAGAAATTCTGGGCCACTCTAAGTTTGAATGATTTCATTGATTTGGCCAAGCAATTATGTTGTCTATACTCTGACTGAGTAAACAAAAAAGATACGTATATGTGTGTGTCTGCGTGTGCGTGTGTGTGTATATAAAATCTCCTTATGTAAAACTAAACATGTCTCTGTTGTTGCGTTGTGGTTGTTTGGTTTTGAAAAATTGTTTTGTTTTGTTCTTTTCTTGTGCTGTCCAGTTAATGACTGGGCCAGGCTCCCTCTGTCCAAGCCTAGTTAGTGCATCCTTCTCAGAACAGTTGAACAGTGACAGCGAGAGAGCCAAAGTGGCAGGGAAGATTGGAATGGAGATATCTGCTGGGAGGAAACGGGGACAGGAGGTTGGCAGGGGGAGCAGGATGAAGCTTCCATTTCCCGCTGCAGGAGGTTACCTCTGGGTCCTTCTGTGCTTCTCCTGTGTGAGGGTTAAAGAAGCCATTTGAGCTATAAAACTGGGAGACCCTCTTCACCTCCAGGTGACTGCATCGTTAGAGCTCTCACAAAACTGTACATGTGTCTAAACAGCACAAAGTGAGGGGAAGATTTGGCTGATTTGCATAATTGAGATTTTAAAAGGCCCAAGTTAGCTAAATTGGCAGTCTACGCTGATTCCATTTTTACCCAAGTTCCACTTCATTTGTGTCATACAGACTCAGCCTCCTTGTGTTCTGTTATATCCTTCCCAAAGGGGAAAATGTGTTGCCATTTCTGAGAAAGCCAGGCACCGGCTATTCTTCTTCCAGACAGCGTCCCATAAAAAGAAACGGCTTCTCTAACCCTCTCAGATAATTGCCGTTTTTTTTTTCACTTCTCTAGACACAGGTTATTTCAGGTAACTTTCTCATTGGCTCCCTCAAGAAATCTAGCTATAAGTCAAACCACCAGCTCTTCATTACAGCCAGAAATTCCCCTTATGGCTCACACTTGACCATGATCGCCACTTGTCATGCTCCGTGAAGGCACATATATTCACACATATATGAGCACACTTACATACACCTACCTGACCCAGCAAGTCATGAAGCTTAAAAAGGGGTGGAGCTTTCCTGTTTGTTCTACTGAAACATGTATTATTGCCATGGAATGCCTGTATTCTCTCTTGCTTTCTAAAAGGTACAAGAGGAACATTATCTAAACCTAGACAAGATCCCAACTGTTTTGATGTGAGAATTGAACCTTGGGGGTTTGGGGAGAAGTGAAGGGAAGAAAGGCCAGCCCACCCCAGACCTGAGTCTTCCCAATTGACAGAAGACAACTTCATCTTTAAAAATAATCTGAGCCTGTGACCCCATTACTATTCTTTGACATGCTCTTTTTTGACATCCTGTCTACTTACCAATGTTCCCAGCTCTTCCAAAAGCCAGCAGCCAAAATCTTAGCACACTTTGGGGGTCACATTCTGCCTTCTTTTTTTTAACTGCTTGTCTTAAAATACTTATTTTGCTTTTGCTTCAGTCTGTCACTTTATGTATCAATTACATACGGCCTTTCAACAGCAGAACACACCATCTGGTCCACAAACTGAAGCCCACGCCCTTATGCCAGAGTTTACTCCTTCCCTAAACATTTATTTGCTGTTGTATAGACTCCGGCTATGTATCAGAATGAGACGCAGGTGATATACTGGATGTATAAGGTCCACTCTACTTAAGGGTTATTAGA